ACAAGACGGACGACAGCCCTCCTTTTCCAGGAGTTCGGGCTGCTCCAGGTTCATTATGAACTACCAGCCCTGCGAGACATGACTCCAACTTCCCCATCGTCAAGCCCTGCAGGCGTGACAAAGAGCTCCCACTGCCTGATGCCATCCTTCCAGTCCCGTCGCTTAAGGCAGCTGTAGGGCCCAAAGGCAGCAGCCGGCACTGCTGAGCTCCTCAACAGCCCCCTGTTCTGCTACTGAGCACCGCTGCCGTTAAGTGCAACGGCTGTAAGGGAGTTGTAAAATTGTGATTTACGGTATTAAACGCTAGGCTCGCTTTTGGAAATCAAGTGCAGAAAGCCGATTCATACCCCTTTTCCCTATTCCCATCTCTTTTAAAAACATAACTCAGGCTGATGTTTACTAAATTCTGGGACTTTTGGCTTGCAAGAATGGATTTATTTGCAATGGAGGAAGAAGCCGGGGGGAGCTGGCAACGGGGAACCTCTGCTGGCCACAGGCTTTTGCCTCCGTCACAGCCGTGCAGGATGCTGGCATGAAAATCGCCTGTGAATTGTTTCTTGCAAGCTCAGCAATCCCTTTTCCACACTGCATCGACTCAGACCCCAGCTTTGCTCTTGGAAACACACGCACAGCAGCACCGGAGGCTCCTGCGTCAGGGATGAGGTGTGTAACGTCAGGGGTTTCAAAACATGGGTAAAATTTTTCAACTCCTGCCTGCCACAAATTTCACTTAAACCCCAATCTAAGGTATTTTAGTCAGTTTGGCACCCGACCTCGGTGGAAGCGGTGCAAGATGTCCTACAACGGTCGGGAACTGCGCAATCGCGTCGCTGTGGTGAAGAGCTCACGGGAGGAACACACGCGCTGGGGGTTATTTCTCATTTTCAGCACACCATTTGCTACGAGGTCTAGAGGAGGGAGAATAACCGTGTGAAGGACAAAGTCAGTAGCATCCACAGTCGAACACCTTTTAATATAATCCAAGGTTCTGCACAGTAACAAAAACACCACCAACGTAGGGTAGGGATTCCAACGGTAGGGTAGAAAACCAATGCAGCAGCACAGCACCACTCATCTGAAGAACATCACCCCAAATAACATGCAGGCTCATCTCAACTGTGAGCAGACAAATTCACGACAGAGAGCTGGCAGAAAGGCATCTCAGCGTTAACAGCAGTGCCCAAGCTTCCCATCCATCCAGCCACCGGAGTCCGGGCGGCCGTCGCAGGAGCTGAGCTCTTGGAGCCCACTGGCCGTAGCATCAGTGCCCCCATGGCGCCTGTGTGGTCAGCAGGCAGGGGAGATCCCCCCTCATCAAAAACAGAGCAGACTTCCAAGGACAAAGTACACAATTCCAATGCACACACACACGAACAGCAGCTGAGCGACCGCAAGTGCCACCCCCATGGCTAAACATAGAGCTTCTCTACTGGCAGGAAGTTCAACCCCTCAAAGAGCTGCCCACCCCTGCTACGGGTCTTCACCTAACAGAGGAAATGAGAGTTTTCCCCCTTCCCTTTGTTAAATGGCCTGCATTAAGAGGAGGCAAATAAACGTGCTAGCTGAGAAAAGGGATTGTGCCAAAGCACATGATCTGTAGGAATGATGGCTTTTGGGTCCAGTGATGAAGTCTGTCCGGCCTGGCCAACAGCCCCAGGCAGATCCTGTGGCCTGCAAACAGCTCAGATGCCGTTTACAATAAATTCAAGTTTCTGATGTCCGGAGTTTCTAGTCTCTTCTGCCTTCAAGAGAATACTATACAGGAGAAATGGCTTCTCACGAAGACAAATACACTCTTGAAGAGCTGTGGTGGCTGCTGGCCGGCCTGCAGCTCTCCAGTCGGCACCAGGCAGCTAAAAGCCCCCCTGGCACTGCTGCCAGCAGGAAGCAGAGAGGACAGCAAACACCAACACAGCACTTCACAGCAGGGGTGCTTCAGCTAACTCCCACTTTCTGATAAGGCACCCATTGTAGTCACGGCCTACAAACCAGCCTGTGCTCTCCACCTCAAGAGCGCTGCACTGACCTGAGCTGTGACACACCCTGGCCCCCAGCAACCATTAACTGCACAAAGGGCCTCTTCGCTACTGGAAAGCAAAGCGAGTCCCAGTGCTATTCCACCGAGGTGTCTGACAGCCATAAGGAGAACCACACGTGTTTGCACACCGAGAGGAACTTCACTTTTACTGAACAAAAGGATTACATTGTACAATTGCTCCTGCTTATTCGGGCTGTTCAGACTTAAAACACGCCTAGAGTCTCGCAGGATGTCTGAAGCAGGGTCGACTGTATCCAACAAAACCATTGCTGCACCATGTGCCTTAGTCCCATGTCAAAGCTTGGCTGACCATCTAGATAAGCCACCAAAAAGGGGTCTTTTGTGGACCTCCGCTGCCCAGGGTGGGTCAGAAGCTGTACTCTCTGACACAGAGGGAAGCTGAGGCCTGCGACTGTTGAAACACTCAGAGGCCTCAACCTCACTCGTTTCCAGCTCTGGATTCTCACCCCCATAACCTAAGATGAATTTCTGAGCAACTGCGAGTTATTTTTGTTTCCAAACACCCAAATCCCTGTGCACCAAGGACTGGGCAGGGAAAGGAACAGCATTTCTTAGACATGCCTTAGCACACTGTATAGTACTGGCGACGCTGACAGTGGCATGGGCAGGGATGGGGGACGAGAAAATCACATCAGCACTGCCAGCTGCAGGGAAGATTTTGCAGATACAACCTATTCGTTTTGAGTGTAATACTAACGACCCACAAATCCTGCCAACACACAGCTCCAGGGAATTTCTGACAAGTTAACAAGCTGAAAATTAATGCTATTGTGTGATTTTTTTTTTTCCCTCCCCCAAGGGCACCTCAAACATGTTGGAAAGAGAAGAGATAAGGAAAAAACTGAAATCCCACCTATACTTAAGAGAACCTACTAAATGAGATACATTTTTGAGTGATTTGTTTTGTCTGAGGAAGTTTGGGGGATGCCAGTGAGAGCACAGTGATAGAGCTAGCTTTGAAAAAATGTAATAGAAGGCAGCCTCAGCCGGTATTTGTAAAAAGCCAGATACAACTGCTCAAGTTCCTCCCCATCAAAATATATAAGTATAACTGAATTATATCTTCCCTTCTAGTTCAATTAAGCTTACGGTAAACCTGTGAAAAGCCAGCTGGACAGAGGTCCCTGAGTGGGAAAGACAGCGAGGCCCAGTGCTGACTCTTCAGCAGGGTGAAACAATCTAATTGTAGATAGAAATGGTGCAAAAGACATCTTGAATTGTTGCATGTAAAGTCTAATATTTCAGAGATATCTTAACAAAAATTCAAAATGGCACCTTAAGAAGCAAGTGACATTTTTGCCAAGTTTGTTCGTGTACTCTGAAAGAGGTAACACTTTACCAAGACAGGTGGTATTTTCACTGACGGCAGGTTAAACAAGCCAACATTTCCAACACCACCCGTGACCTCTGAATATTAACCCTGTCCAGCCTAGCTGAGTTTTTATCACTTTAAGTTTTTAATTTTTCCTTTGAATGAACTTCAAGTTTAAGTAGTAATAACATGCCCCACTCTTAAGCAATTTTTCAGACTGAACTGCTGAAAAAAACCCAGGAAGTCCTCTTTCATATGGTAAATCTTCTTAAGAGGAAATTATCCACTGAAGCTTTGAAAGCATCCTGTTGTATGCTCTGGACTATCCACTGATGTTTATGAACTTGTGCTTCATGTGGGAGAAGTTCTACAGCAGATACTGCAAGTTTTAGATAAAGACACTAGGGAATTACCTCCAGACATCACCTGCCACAAGGCATGCTCCGGAGTTCCCTAGGAACTCTCAGGAATGAGCAAAAGCCTCTTTGCCTGATCCAAACCTACCAGAACACTGCTGGCAAAGCTGCGTTACCTTTTTCTGGATCTCATCCCTGGGAAGACTCATGATATGGAGAAACAGTGTCACCTAGAGTTCTCCTGGGAAAACTGTCCACTTCCAGAATAATAATACACAGAAGATTTCCCTCACACCTCCCTTCGTTTACTGTGGGGAGAGCATTAAGCTTCTGTATCACAATGTCTAATTCCCCAAACGTGAAGTGACATCAGCAGAGTTATTTGCACATTTAAAGCTCCACTTCAGCTTCCAGGAAAGACAAAGAAAGGGAAATTTCTTAGCACTACATATAAGCTGTAGCTTTCAGCTGCCTGAAACAGGAGTCATTCTGAAGTCATTATACTGATATGGAATAGGAATGTAAACAAAATCAAGCCTTTGAGATATCACTGTCCAGTCTGGATGCCGTCCTCAGAGGCAGCCTCCTCAAACAGACGCAACTGGAATGTGTCAAGGGTTCAGACACAGGAGAAGAATAACTATCAACCCTGGTTCTTGTGTGAATTGAGGGCTTTCATAACTTACAAATGGTACTGATTTGTCTGCACGATGTCTGCGTATAGTAGGGCAATTATTTTGTGAACCAGTGTTCTACATCAAATCTGAGGTCATCAATGTTCCCTGTGAGCAGACATTTGACATTACTGCCTCAAGCCAGACAGCGGCACACAGCTCGATGGTACATCTCAGCCAGCTCTGCACCCCCGAGGAACTGCATCAAACTGCAAACCTATCCTGCGATACGTACTGATGACTGACAGCCGTTCAGGATGGTTTGAAATCATTACATTTTCGTTTTTACCTAATATCAGGACCTGAATCCAGATCTCTAGAGGTAAAGAGCTAAGGAGTTAACCAGATACATCACTTTGACCTGTCTTAAATAAAATAAAACAACTAAGCCCTGCTTTCAAGTGCACCGCTTAGTAATTACCAAAAAACCAGCGAGCACAGCAGAAATTCTGTTCAAACGTGGCTCCTGCATTAGAATTTGCCTTGGGAATCCTAAGACAATTGAAAAACTAGTTGATTAATAGGTAAAGAACTAAGGAGTTAACCAGATACATTACATCACTTTGACCTGTCTTAAATAAAATAAAACAACTAAGCCCTGCTTTCAAGTGCACCGCTTAGTAATTACCAAAAAACCAGCGAGCACAGCAGAAATTCTGTTCAAACGTGGCTCCTGCATTAGAATTTGCCTTGGGAATCCTAAGACAATTGAAAAACTAGTTGATTAATGATATTCACGTCAACCATTCATAGTGTCCCTGAAGCCCCACACCTCCAGGACAGAGATCTGGAAGCTTTCAGAGCACAATGGCTGATTATTGAAAGTATTGCAGTGGCTGGTTCTCCCGTGGTTCAGGTCTGCATCGAGGTAAAGAGCCTGGCCATCACCACCTCCTGCGAAGAAGAGACAAAGACAAGGGTAAGGGTCTCTGCATTCCTTAGCATGAGGAATTGCTATACAACAAGCAAGGACTCAACTGCTTTTCTCACAGGAACAACTGGAAGCCGTAAGTGGTGTTTGCTTGCTGACTTCAGGTGTCACCCAGTAAGATGAAATGCACAGCACTCAAGTGACACTAATCAGAACAGGGTGATTTCTGGGAAAAGGACAACTATGATTTTACATCTGTTCCTTGTGAATCCCACTTAGGTGACAACTTTACTAAGCAGGCTTTTGCCAAAGTCAGCAGCATCACAGATTCAATAAAGTCCTAGGAGAATTAGCCTGTTTTATAGTTTACCGCAGGTTTCAAAAGCCTCAGTGCAAAGTTCGTTCTTCAAGAACTACTGCTCATTGTGAATTAGGCCGTATGAAGGTAGGACTGTGCTTAAAGCTAGGAGTTACTATCTCACTTTAAAGTGCTTTGTATGCACAGACAATTTTTGTTGGGTAAGAATACCAGGGTTTGGACACTTTCATCTCTAAATGTAGTGATGCTGAAATATTTACATGGTAAATACAGGTGACTTATCAAAGGTAGATAGGAAGAGCTGGTAGAATATATGCTCAAGTTCTCACACTGACTTACCTATAATGATGCATTCACTGCTGCCAGCCATGAACATAGAGGCTGTTTTGGAAGGTAGGTTGAAGTGCCGAGCTGATAAGAAGGGAGAAAGGCGATCTGAGGGGTCTGATGGGACACTGCTGGAAGAGAGGGTACTTGAAGCTGGTGAGGCGTGATTTTCTGGCTCCGATCCAGCCGTGGCCAGTTCTGGGTGTTTTATGATCACCCACTCGTAGCGTTCCACTTCTGGCTGCAGCTGCACGGGGCAGAGAAGAGCTTTAGTCGGTGCACAAGCACTACACGGAGAGCTCTGCGCAGCAACGAGCATTCAAGTGCCTCAGCCTCCCTCTGCACAATCAGCAGTCAGGACTGGATCAAACTGCCTTTTAGGCCAGACGTTATTTTCTTTCTTTATACCTTTGCTTTTCAGATGACTGAAGAAATGAAGCGTTTTCTAAGTTACCTTATTACACCTTTTAATGATATTTTCTGTGCAAGGGAAGAAAAAGGCTTACCACAACGCTGCAAAGTAACTAGGAGGGCACATAACCCAGCCTCTTGAAGTGGGAGTTACTCACACCACTGCAGCAATTCTGCCTTTCTACTGCGTAGTGACAATAAAATGTTACTCACCCTAAATACAAAGCACTCCCCAGTTCCAAAGAAACTCAGCTTGTTCCCTCCTCGCCTGCGCTCGCTCCAGTCAGTTGACAGGTAAGCACCGCAGACCTAGCACAAACAGCACCGTCAGGAGGCTTTCCGCTGAAGGAGAACGTGTTAAACCAGTGATACCAACGTTTCAGAGTCCAGAACCGAAGGGTTTCTTTCAGTCTGATTTTCAAAATCTCTATATATGAGTGGATTAAGGCAGCACAAGTACTTATATCTAAAGATAGATTTAAACGGCTTTAATCCACTAGTGGGTCCCCTTAAATCCCAAGAGTTTCATAAATAATTTCACATCTCTGAGGCCTTAAAGGAGAAACACTCCACCACAGCCGCAGGTACCAAAACACAGAATCACTCCAAACTTGTAAAACCTAACTTCCACTTCCTCATTTTGGCATCCAAAGCAACAGTTCTGTCTCAAGTTACAGTATGAACAGTAACAGCTCAGCATTATACACAAAATATTTTGAAGTCATGCACAGTGGTGCAGACAACCAACACTCATTACAGGAAGCACTTGTGTGCCCTCCTCTGGAGGTTTCGGGAAGCTTTCTTGTTTTATGCATTTCTTTAAAAAAAAAAAAAGCAGCATGAGATGCAGTTAATGCTTCTGTTTTCACATCATGTTGTCCAGTATTGTCACGCACAGTAGAGCGGAGAACCAACACTCCTTAGATAAGTGTGTACACTCCCCCTCAGGTTCTCAGAGCCTTCTTGTCTTATTTTTCTCGATAAGAATGAGATGAAGCTAAAGCTTTTGTTTGCACATTATGGAGTCCAGTATTATTCCTACTGTTTAAGTTCTGCTACCTCCTCTCCTCATATCCCGCAGAAAATGAAAATATCTTCTATGAATCACGAGTTTCTTAACACAATTCCCCAGTCTCTCCCTCTGATTCTGCAATTAAGGGAGTCTGGCTCAATGACCTACTCTAGTCCATCATCCCCCATTACTCACAAGAGAACAAGCAGCTGACCAAGACCTACTTTACAAGGTTTATCCAAGAATGCGTAGTCTCACAATCAACAAATGGAGCCATTTAAAGCATACATTGTTATGTTAAAAAACCCAAACAAAACCCCAAGCAATTTCTAGTCCCTCATGTCTTTGTTTTATTATAAACAGTTGTGTGCTACAATACAACATAACATAACTGCCTAAAAACTAATTTCATCAGTTGCTTTTCACCTTACTCACCTCTTTTGCTGTGGTCTTGATGAGAAGAAGAGTCGGTTCGTGTCCCTCACTGTGAGAATAGAACCTGAAATGCAGAGCACACAAAAATGAGGACTCAGGTACCACCAACTGCAGTTCTTTTCCGCCTTAACGTCAGGCACCGTCGCCTCCTCCAACTGATGGCAGGGCAAAAAAGACATCTGAAGACTAAGCTTATTCCTGCAAATGCTTTCTACAGTCCACTGAAAATAACAGAGTAGAGTGTAAACAAATATTATCAAGCAGTTCTTCCCTACTCAGCTGTCTGTGCAGGAGCTTACACCGCTGCAGAATAACTGGAAGCCTACATATCACAACAGTGGCACTCTCCAACATTTTGAATTAAGAGAACCTAAAGGAAGGTGTGACTTGAGAACTGATGGCTGTGTCTGAAGAGCCTTCAGCTTTCATAGAAAAGAATTATGATGCCTTCTCTTTGCTTGCTTTTGCTTTTCCTCATAGACACATGGGGCTGGGACAGCAGACTGCTCCCTACCTCAGTACCTCAACTGCAGATGTCAAAGGCATTATTGGGAGCTATGGGATTATAGTCTTCTGTGTCAACTGCAAGGAGAACTCACCTGGTTTATCCCACCTTAAAAATAACAACAATCAGGTTCGTAGGAAGAAGAATCTCCAGTTTCTAGCTCCCTTATTCTTTGGACCAGTTTGAACTTGGTTATCTATCAAAAAAGACTGCAGAGCAGCCACGGAGTTAAAACCATTCATACCCAGTGGGGAACCAACCAGTTTCAGACCAGCATATTCTGTGAACTGATGCACATTTGACTTTTCCAACTGGTCTTGGAGAGTTTAAAATGACTTGCCACATCCTGGCATGTGAAGTATCCTGGTCAAATGCTCAAGCCAATAGGAATTTGTCACATTCACATCCCACCGCTCATAATATCCTTCAGATCAAGTTCTGACTAGGCACGGCCGCCTTGTCAATCCAATGAACAGTTCATCAGTTCCCCTTCTCGCCCTACAGTGGAGAAGATCAGGGAAGGTTTTCATTACCTGCTCAGACTACAGCCATGTTCCAAGGTGGTGAAAAGCAAGAGGGGCTGGCAAAGTGCAAATCGCTCTGGGATCCATGACCAGATGTCTCGCATCTCTTTCACACTGACAATTTCAGACTTGAAATTCTCAGCATGAACTGCCAAGTGCACATTCTGTCTGAAAAACACAATACAAAACAGTGAGAAACAACAATTTAGCAACAAAACAAGATTCAGACAGTAACATGCAAAGACAGTTGAACACTAAAAGACCCTAGCAGATATGCTCTTGTTCCAAGCTCCAGCCCATGGGATTAGAAGGCCGTGACTTAGTGAAGATTATAAACTACTGCAGTTTAACAAAATCCTTGAGGTAGTGATCTGCCCTTACCTGGCTCCACACCTGGAGCAATTCCTAGGTACAGCGGCCACGGCTTGTGCCTTTATATGGAGAGGATGTAACAGTGAGCCAGCTAAGATGACCATGACCTTAAATAGATCAAATTATATTTGCTGTTTGAGCTGGTCTCGCTGGCACTAGTATTGTATTTAAGCATAGAGAACTGAATACCTAAAGAAACAGGCAGGATTTGAATGGGACAGGTAGTATTTGTCACCCTCTGAGGTTCTGCCTGTATCACGGAATTACAGAATTTGTGTAACCCTCAGATATTTTAGATAAATCAACATTACCAGGCTAAGCAATTTTAATCCAAACCAAATAGTTGAAGCTTTTGGAAAGTTCCACCTCTTAGAAACATGTAATTACCAATTACTTCCACTTCATTAAAAACCAGAGAAGTTCCTAGGCTCATGGTCACAGTCGGAGCCTCAAAACATGAAGGAATGCTGGACACTCACCCTGGAAAGCAAACCCTCCTACCCCCAGAGGGGTCTGATACAATTACACGAACTGAGTCAGGGCTTTGAAACACGTGAAGGTAGTAGCACTACTACTAGTCACCATCATCATCGTAACCAGCCCTCATTTCTCAGATTAAATAAGTACACAGCCTGGGGATTAAACAAGTGTTACTGCATCCGTGGCCAGCGTTAAAGACTTATGATGCAGGAGTGACAGCCAAGTGACATACGAACTTACACAAGATACGAAGTTACTGGTAGCCATTAGTGAAATGAAGCGTCAGCCAGTTTGCTCGGCGGCATGCAAGGGCTCCCGTGCAGGTATCGCCCAAATTCTGGTGGCTTTTTTTTTTTTTGACAATTACACATTTCTTTCCTCTTTGTTTCAAGGACCTCAATACTCAAGAGGACCTCAGTGCTGCATACCTGCATGTATCTGAACAGCTTAGCTCACTCTCTAAAACACACAAACTATGCATTTTAAATTATTTTTCTTGCTTGTAGTACCAAGAAATCAGCAGCACTTGCAAAGTGCTTTAGAGGGGTGCTTGCTTGGAGACACTGGGAGCTGCTTTTTGAAATTTACTGTAGCTGCCTTAGTGTCACCATTTCTAGTGAAGTGACTCCTCAGGTCACTTAAAGAAAAAAAGTAATTACTGCTTCCTCTAGCAAAATGAACCAAATCTCTACATGCATTCCTACCCTGCATTATTTAATTAGCAAGGAACTTCTATGGACACCTCTTTTAAGCAAGCTGCAAGTATTAATGGATTTTAAAACTTAAAGTATGACTGACTAGGGCGTTATTTGTGCTTTTAAACACAGCAAGATGTGGTTCAGGAGACCAACAGAAGCAAAGTATGAGCCAAGACTTGAACCCACACCTTCAGAATCTTACTTTAGGTCTCAGCCCTCCCAGTCCTGCCTGGTCTGCAGCTAAAGACTAGTGGTGCTACGGAACAGAGCTGAGAAACAAAGCCTTGGTTTCAGTTCAACAGAAATTAGATTTTCCTCACATTCAAAGAATTAAAAAACCCAACATTCAGAGCAGTCAGCTGGTTCATTACAGTGAATTTCTGGAGTAAAAGTAATGATGATATATAGGCTAAGAGTTAGTAGCAAATATCAAAACAGTTTTAAACTTACCAAACCTCAATCAAGCAAGCCTTGATTATTTGTATGTTTGGTCTGCACATTTTCCGCACTTACACGATCTGTTCAGGCAACTAAACCTAAGTATTTGCTCTTAACAGGCTCTCAGCTTCAGTGTACCTTTACTTTTGCCTTTGTTCCTCCTCCTGGCTACTAGGAACTGCTGATTTAAGGACTCTCCTACTCAGACCCAACCTGAAGCCTGTGCTCAGCAGTAAAAAATAAAAATCATTTTATAGTTAACATTACCATTCAGTCAGAAAACCTAGACCATAACTTGACATGGTAGCCTGAACTCTAAATCTGGAGCGGCACTGCACTGAAGTCTACAACTAGAACTGAACAAATGCATTAAGATTTTACCCTGCATTAGCATTTTCCTCAATTCTTCAAGTCGGCTTACTGGGATTCCCATGACAACCAGCAATCAATAGGAAGACATGTTCAGTTGCTATTAACCCAAAGGCAATAAGATTTAGAAAGTAGCACAATTTAAGCTGCTTTATTAAACATTTATTTACCATTTTTGTAGGACTGTTGTTCTTACAGCTATATCATAAATAGAACATGCTTCAGAGACCTCAAAGCTCTTGATGATAAAGCCAACGCTGATGACATGAGGTAGCAGCTGTCACAGTGGATATGCTCTGTAGGTACTCCAAGATAACAAATACCACACCCCAAGGTATGACTCACTGAATTACATCTTCCTGCTCTACTTTGCTTTGGGTCAAATCTTACAGGGTCTGCATTATCCTTAAAAGCCATTATAATTTCAGTTAGGACATAAATGTGTGGTAGAAGTGGTATGTTGTTTCTCAGTCATAAATGACAGTATAAGCCATATGTGGTGTGTAAGTCTGAAATTTAACCCTGTGTTGAGATCAGTGTCAACAGGCACCCTGCATCTACCCAAGTCCCCTCAAACCCAAACTATGTGCTTCCTAGCAGAAATCAAGGCTTTCTGCTGCGTTCAGAACACTGTAAAGGCAGTAAAACAATACACAGACGTTGAAGACTTGCTTGGCTGCCAATTTATCAGAGGTAAAATCCTCAGAGGATAGGATATGAAACATAATTTGATATGACTCTTACAAGGTGTTCTTTCAGGCATTACATCATGAGGAAATTAATTCCAATTTTGATTTTCTAAGTTAGTACAAATGTTAGTGAGCATCACTCACTAAAGTTAACTCAGGGCACCTGCAACAAGACCAGAAGATTCTCAAACGCACTGATTTAAACCCACACCTCTGTGGTATTTAATACTCACAGGGCAGTCCTTCTCCTTTCCAAGTTCTCTGCTTATCAGGTATCACAATCCACTGGGTTTTGTTACTTAAGATTTGCTTTTCAGGCCAAGACTTGATGAATGACTTCATTACCCATTAATGTTATATGGCTGAGTAACTCTGACCTCCTTGACACAGGAAAAGTCTTGTCGCCCTGCCTCTAGAAAAAAACCCTACCTACTTAAAAATAAATATAATCTAGTATGAAGAGAGACAAGCCACTTTTAGGAGTGTGCCAAGTTGGGTTCAGTCCAACATCTTTCCAATTAACTGCAGAAAGCTTGCAAAGAAGAAAAAAGGTTGAGTATGTCACATCTATGCAACAGCATATAGCAGGTTTGGATGGGTGACAATACCTAACAGTTCTGCAGACATGTTACTTGAGACGCTTTACAAAAATAACACTTTTTCTTCCAGCGTAGAAAGGACATTCTGGAAAACAGAGGCTTGTGCTGCTGTACGGAAGTGCTATGGTGACTAGCTGGACCCATGATTCCCTACCTTACAATTTTGCAGGTGCTTTGAACTAACTTTGCAAGTATTCAGGAGGGGCTCCACAGCAACTGGATGCTGTAACTGCTGCCCGGCTTCTCCTGCCCCAGCATCAGCAATAATGACAGCCTCGGAAAAAACAACCAGCAAAGGCAGAAGACGCCAGCAAAGATTCAAGTGTTTTAACCTACCTTTTGGGAGATGCAAGACTGCAAACAGGAGGGGTGCAGTGCGTATGGAATTGAACAGAAGGAGAACGTACAAGGAGAAAGACAAAAAAGACAGAAAAGATCAGTGATTTCCTACATCTGCGACAAAGCGAATGAAAGGAGCCTGGAGAGAAACAAAGCAAAGTCTGATTTGAATCACCAAGCATGAGAAAAACAAACAGACAGGTTAAAATATTTCCCTGTTTAAATTTTCCTTCCTTTTTGTGCCACCTGCTGGTAGTTACGTGATTGGAGAATAATTGATTATCTCCTTGCACTGGCCAAACACAGCTGGACAAGAGAACTCACCCGCATCCTACCGCAGAAAAGCTCACTTCTCCAACAAGTGCCACGGGATACCGAGAAGTTTCAGTATGTTTGCCAAAGCAGCCGAGAGGGTAACAGTTTTTCCGCTATCGACTCTGCCTGGTAAGGCAGTAACTACTGGCGTTGCTTGGGTACGAATTCACTGCATCTTGCTTTGAAGGCATTACCGCTGTTCTGAGCAAATACTACCTCTACCAAGTGTAACACAGCAGGAGCTTCTGGGTTTTTGTGGTTGGTTCTTTTTTTTCCAGTCTTTTTCTGTTTAGGATTTTAAAAAAATTATTTTATTTAAAACTCCTGCTCTGTTGCTGAAGAATATACTCAGAAAAGGATCTCTCCTCAACTTCAGTATGGAAAAGCTATATATTGGAAGAGTTGATACTTCTGGTTGCGAGTCCCAAATACAACAGCCTGACCTCTACCCGGCACTGACATTCCAGTGGCTAAAGGCACTGAAATATCCCAGGCTGACAGAGCAGTCTCTTCCAAGACACGAGCAAAACAAAGCACAAGCTAATTGTAAACCAAGCTACGAGTCTAAAAATGAACCACTGGAGACAACTGGAGGGAGTTTTACATGTATGTAGGCACATGAAAGAAGTTCAGCTAACATTGAGGTTATTTTATAGGCTGAAATCTGCTAAGGGTGTATTTCAGTACCATGGAATGGCACCTGCGTGCAACTACTGCAACTAACTCAGCAACGCAATTTGCTCTAAGATCCCAATACATCAGTGGCTGGAACCTTTTGATTTTTGACCATTTACAGAAAGACTGTCTCCCTAGAATACCGAGTTCTAGATATCACACTTACTGACCCCAGTACACTTCTAAAAATCATCCTCCCTTCAGAGGTCAGGACAATTGATAACCCTGTTCAACACCCAAACTTAGATTTCAAAAACAGTTGGGAGTTTTCTGTGGTCACAGAAGGTCTTAGGAGAAACAGAACGTGCCTACAAGACCAGTACCTACCTGCACAGACATTTGCACTTGGCAAGATATTTTGTTTAGATTAACATCTTGCTGCCTTTTCTATATACATGGAGAGACCTTTCAACTAAGCTTTTTATTATTGTGGCTTTTACTATCACATTGGAGCAGGATTTCATTTACTAGTTTCACAGCTGGTTTTTCCTCCCCTCATTTCTGAAAAGAAACTGTGATTACACAACCATTTTTTGGATCAGCATCCTCACTCTTCTCCATGGTTCTTTCAAAACCATTATTTCTAATAGAACCTGTCAGAATGAATCTGTCAGAAAATAGGTCAGGTCCCACCTACGATTACTGGACTCCTGACTTTCGATGCTTGCAGTCAAACTAATTTTGAAAGTAACCTGTAAATAAGACTTAGTTCTTCCTTGCTCTGTTAAAATAACTCCCAAGTGAAGCAAAATGTTCCCAGCTGGGACAGCGTTTGCCTACTCACACTGAAGCAGCTGCTGAATTCACAGTACTGGGTAACAGGAAATTGACATTTGACAGGAATAATCTCATATTTAAGAATTTATTTTCACATTTATTTGGGTACTTTTCTTCCAAGTAATTTATCAGTGTTTCTTTCAGCTTTGCTAAAATGCCTTCAGGTTAAAAACAGCATGTGAAAGATACTTTTGAGATACAATACTTGCAGTTAATCTGTACCCATAAATAGCAATTATAAATTCATTACTAAGCTATGAGGAACTGCTTTGTTTCTCTAGTATCATAACATTTCAGTTACACTTCTTGTTACAAGCCCAGCAATGCTTAATTCTGGGGCTGCTGACTTCTGCAGAGAAAAAAAGAGTCAGCAGAGACACCAGCATGTACCAGTACAGCTCCCCCACCAGCCACCCAGGACGGACTGCCTGCTCCTCACAGCAGGAAAACCCACGAGATCACTCAGGCTACCTGTACCGAGAGCCCTACCTTTTCTGCTTGACCGTGATGCCCTTCTGCTGCAAAGCCTTCTCATTGGCCATCTGCAGAAGCTGGATCTCCTTCCGTGAGAAAAGGCGGATAGCAAAGGCTTTTTCCAGAAGCCTCTCCGGAGACACTGACTTGGCAATGTCTCTCACAAAAGCTCGAATGTCCTGCTGTATGCTGTCAGACTCCACGGGCTGCCCTGCTCGGACTTTGTGAAAAAACTTCAGCAGAGCCAGCGCCACACGATAAAGAACTTTGTAGCCCTCCACCAGAAACACATCAAAGACCCGAGCAACGTACACCATCGGCAGTTCTCCGAAGAGCCACCGCTGCCAGTCGGAGTATACCTCCAAGACGTCCTCCGACACCGCCACCATCAGCTTATGTGCCGCCTGACAGTACTTGTTCACCAGGTCACCGAAGGTCATGCAGGAGGACTCAAAAGCCAAGAACGTCTGATCGATGAGCCGCTTAGATGGGTCGTTGCAAGCAAGGATGCGGCAAACCTGCTCAAAGCACTCTGCCTCATCCTTGCTGTAGTGGAGGAGCAAGGCTATGACAGAAGGCAGTGCTGGGCAGAACGATATGTCCGGGAACTGATTCGCAATGCACAATATAATCTTCCTGACTGCCCCGATGCCTTCTGCATTCAAGCAGTACGTGGGGACCAGGCTGTTATCCACGAACTCCGGTAGCGGAAGGGAGCTGCTGTTACGTTTTCCAACAATCTTCACAACAATGTCCCGGTACACGTTTGCATCCGGGGTGACTGTGCGGCACGGGATATTGCTAATTAGTTTGTGGTACACTTTGGCTCTCAGAGAGTGGTTCTTGGCCCAGTAGCCCTGCCGGGCCAGCTGCTTGAGCTCCTGGAACTCTGTGCACGTCAACTCCTTGGCATCCTGGCTCTGGACAGTAACATCCATTTTGTCCCAATCCACAAAGCGGTTGTATTCATCCATGACTCCAGGAGAAGCATATCAGATAAATCATGAGAATGGAGACCCTATTTGGTCATTAGATGACTTGCAGCTTTTCCTGCAAAAGAAAAATAATAGAGGTTTGAGTAACAGGCAATCTCCCATTTTCTATAGGAAAGCACACACACATTCAACTCGTTCCTGCCATGCCAGAACTGTTTTCTAAAGCAAAGAGAGTTAAAGATACATGCTTATTTTTAAGACAAACTTTATTTCCATTCTGTCAATAACTCCTACTGAAGTAATTTACCACTGGCAAGTCAAAAAGTTGGGACATCTCCATGGGAAGTTAATGCCCCTAACTGAAGGTCCAAGCTGAGGCAAGGGAAAGCCTCCTACTTCAAAAAATATCCATTGCAAAGTCTGTTCCATTTGTAATCTCTCTTCCTAATTCCCTGGGGAAGAAACTCTTATTTAAACCACACGGATGCCCTCTGATGAGCAGCTTGCACTGTTCTAAGACTGTGTGGCCAGTGACAAGAGATGCTGACCTCCTGCTAGCCACAGCCATGCGTTCTTAGTCATTTCTTCTTGCTGGTACTAGCACTCGTGTGGCCACAATCACCCAGACTAGCTTGTTATTCTGCTACAATTTTTCTTTTCCGCTAGAAAAGCAAGATGTGCAGCTGTACGTTCAGACAGATCAGCGCTGGTGCCAGAACAAAGGTGAGTGCAGGGCAGAACCACCCCTTCTGATGGCAGTACAGGCTTCAGTCAGCTTAAAACAGCTTCAGAGTGCTTCTTAAGTCTCTTTACTATAGCACTGGACTCCTGGTCCAGACCTGGTCCACACTTCCATGACCAGATCACCATCTATAGGGCCTGCTGTCACCAGCACGGCAAGGTTTTGAAATGCACCAGTGCAATAGCACCAGGAGCTGAAATATCAGGTTCTGGCGCCTAGTACCTCAAACTGCATGTTTACATCATCTACCAACTGGCTCCAGCTTTAAAGTACACCTGTATCCCAGGAAGTCAGTGTAAAACTAGAAGGGGAGGTACAATAAAATCCACTAATACAGCAGGCAACAGGTTTGCCCTGTGTTGGAATGTCTCTGCCAGTGTGCCCTCAGTGCCAGGTTAAAGCCAGGGAGCACAGGGGCGTTGATGCTGCACACTCTGCAAAGGCAGATAATCCCTATAAAATGCAACAGGCCTATAAAACTGTTTTGTACAACTGAGACAATATCAAAACCAACAAAATCAGTTACTGAAATGCTTCCAAAGAACCTTTAGTCGTGCCTGTGTCAACAGACTGGAGAACACATGGAACTTGACATTTATCAGCATGGTCTTTCAACACGTGCATTAAAATGATTTGAAACTCATGAGGTAGATACACCATTGAGACAAAAAACTCCCCTCCTTACTCCATTACAAGAAAGTAAACCTACCATTTTGTCTCCAGTAGACAGAAGTTTGTAATCATGCAATTAGCATTAGCTTGGACAGCCATACATTTAATTGAGAGTTTTGGATTCCGCCTAAGTATTAAAGTGGGTATTTTGGGGTCACATGCTGAAACTCCAAAATTTAACTCCTCTTTTAAAAGGCTGGCAGCAACACACAGGAGCCTTTCAGAGAAGGCTTTTGAATGGCTCTCCCCTACAAAATATTTACTACTTTTTTTTTTTAATAAATAGATTACTCTTGAGCCACCTTTGTACAATGTCAAAGCAACACAGAAATGCTCACTATTTCTGTTTGTTGCATTCTTGCATCTGAAATTAATTCTTAGACTGTAATTAAAGGAGGCAAGACATTGTCCTGACTTCAGTTCTGACAGCGAGAGCGCGTATCTTCGGGATAGGCAAAGACAGTAACGGTAGGATACCCGACCATCACAGAGTCAGTGCCAGCTCTGTGGAGGTTAAGTTTTTCTGTCGTTCTCCACCACCTGGGAATCGTAGCAAAACTCGTTATCTTTAATTCAAATCCTAGAACAAGATCCTTGTGGAGAAGAAAACTTAAATCCTATTTAGCAGTGACCAAAGCAGAGAGATGAACCCTTCTGTTCAGTCACTTTGTACAGAAACTATTACTATCCACTGCTTGCTGGTGTCTCCACTCTGCAACGGCTTCATCCTTCTGCCACCATTCCTTGGGGGCTGCTCATATTTGAATTAGAAAGGGTTAAGTAAAACATCCATCACACGAGACAACTTCTAAGATACCAGAGTTATGTTTCAGCTGTCCTTTTTCTTGTAAAATTTCTTCTCCCCCCTCCTTACACTCCTGTGCCTTATTTTCTATCACTCAGAGACAAAGGCTTATTTAGAGGTTGCACCAAAAAGTAATTTTTCCCTCCGGAAGTTACTGCCTCTTCCAGAAACTAATGGATTTGATGAGTATGTGCTCCTCAGCAAGCTCACTGAAGTCTCGGGCTAGAGGGTGGAAGGCAGACTGCCAGAACTTCTGATCTGAGCTTACAGTCTTATACGTACTTTGGCTGGGATAAATCTGCTGGGTCTGCAAGTAGGTCTGGCTGCTGCTGCTTTTCAAAGCTCTAGATGCTGTGAGAAAAACTGACAGCAAAGCACTGCCGAGGCATTGTCAAGGTTGCCAGAGCATGACCAGCTCTTAACTGTGCTTGCAAAACCCACAGAACTAGTGTGCTTCAGTGTAATGGTGCATAGCTCCTGACACCGTGCCAACAGCTACTGTAAGCCAGCAGGCCTCAGATGGGGAGCATTTGCTTGCCAAAGGAGAAGAGCCCAAGAAATCTCAGGAAAATTCCAGCCAGGCTTCATCTCCTCCTCCCACTCCTTCCAAAACCTCTCTCCCTCCAGGCCAGTTCTCTCTCCTCTGGAACCACGTGAAGAGCAATGTTTAACTCCGAGCTGTTGGGGAGAGGAGACAAGAGCTGTCTGACGTTCAGTAGCAAAGGGCTAGCTGGCTGGGGCTCTCTCCCAGCCATCTCTCCTACAAGGGAGCAAGCAGGCAGTACAGACTGATATTCAGGGGGACAGAAGGCTGGAGTGTCACTTAAGGTGGACAGCTGTGTAAGACTGCACGTCTGTCAAGAAGTCCCATCTTCACCTAAACTACCCAGCTGTCACATACAAACAAGGGGCAAGAGACGGAAACAAAAAACACACTTCTGAATGAAATATTTCATATTCAATATTTCAGAATACAACAAAAAAACTTGTATAAACATTTGAAATGTTTGTTTAAAGATATGGTTAAAGGCAGGCAGAGACCTCCATTTCTGTCGCCTTATGGCAACAAACTTCTTTCCTTCTTGCTAAAGTAACTTTAGTGAAGTTAGCATCATGTGTCCCGGACATGGGGACAGTGGGATGGATCAGCACCCGAACTGCACTGAACTGAAACGCTTTCACGCACCTCCAGAGCAGAACTGTAGAGGGATTGTAAAGAGTAGCCAAAAAGACCACTCAAAACAATGACAAAGCTTGAAAACTACGTATACCTTATCTAAGGGGGAGCAGTCATTACCCTTTCTAGTCAGACTGACTTTTACAAAACGGAAGGAAGTAACACAGAAGGACAAAACCAGGAGTAACTGCCACACAATTTTGAGACTTTCAGACCTGTCTATAATGGAGCTCTTCAGCTAAATGCAATATAAAAAACCCACACACTGAGAAGAAGAACTAGAAAAAATGCATACAGAAGACATGCCAAAAACGGCTGCAGAAGAAGCAAAATATTTTTCAGTGTTGATTTGAAACTATGAAGCAAGCAAGCAACTGTTACAATTCAAAACCAAGTGGTGACCACGGTAACTAGAGCTGGCATGATTCACTGACTAAATTATTAGGAAATGTTTAGCTTGCTAGTCTAGCCACATTTTCCATTCCATTCTATCCCATCCCTTTCCCTCAGTTCTCCCCACTGTCATTTGGGCTACTTTCAGAAAGACTGCTGAAAAGTGTGCTGAATTTGTATAAAATATACAGCAGTGAAGCCCAGCGTGACAGTCAAATTCTGATACTGCCTGTGAAGAAAAATTGTATGAAAGTGACTAAAAATACATCAATGAGAAAACAGAAGATTTGAATGATGACTTACCTTCACTTTAGGGAATGTAAGGCTACAATTTTGCTAAAGACAACAAGGCTATGGACAACTTCAATAATATTTTTTGCTTTCGAAAATGCAGGCATTAGCAAACCGAAGTATCTGAAGTACAACTAACCCAGAGGACAATTATTTCTATCAGGTTCAGAGTACATGCTGTACTCCGTAGTTGTGAAATATTTACGTTATAAACTTCTTCAAAATAAATTCCCACTTTGGTTAAAACCTGAGAACACGTGATTTGATACTACCTTTAATAAACACAAGTAAGTTTCCTAAAAAAGAAAAAAATATTCAGGAAAGCCTTGTCCCCTGCACCACTTGGGTATTTTGGCAACTATGTGTTCTGAAAGTTTCACTACCAATGTATAGCTTAAGACAATTCATTTAAATGTAGTGTAGCTGCTCTACAAGAAAAACCCAAACCTTGAAAACAACATTTTTCATCTTAAACACAGACAGTTACAACACCTTTGATTCAGCTATTTGCTATGTACAGACACCGCTAGACATCACGACCAAACCTTTGGCATGCATTTTTGTAACATGCTAACAGAAAGCAAACATGCTCTTTTGCTGCCCTACAAATCAAGACTAATGCTAAACTCACAGACCTGCAGCATATCGTTTGCTGTTTATACTGTCAAGCAGTGATGTAGCCAGGGAAAAGGCTCAAGTGTGTACCCTCTTTCATAACCTCATTAAACTAATCCGTGCAGAAGGCATGTGAAAGATAACGAGAACTGCTTCCTCAAGACTGCTAGCTATTAGTCCTAATCCCAGTAAGAGAAAATTAAACTCAAAACTCTGTGTAGATGATTTCCCATCCTTGAGGAATACTCAATCATGTCAGAGACGTTTGCTTCATGCACAAAGAACCTGACAGAAGAACAAAGCAGCACAGCACAGTAACAATAGCAGTTACTCTCTCCTTCCCG